GCAGGAAAAAATCTTCAATAGAACTTTTGTAGGTTTCAGGACAACAAATACCAATTGCGTGTTTAATGGCTTTCAGTATATATGAACTGCTACTTGTATTCTATTTATATATATGCACAGCTGTGAATATTGTGACATTTGTCATGGCAGGCTGTGTTGACGTTCAGCATAAAAAACTTATATAAATTAATAATGGAGGTTTGACTATTCATTGGACATTATATGTGAGGTACCCGTGAAGATACAGGTTAAAATGTGTCTTTAGCAGCCCATGCTTGTCGTGAAAGGCGACTCTAGCTATCGGGTGTTCAGGCTCGCTGACCTAGTTGACACATGGCTTTATATACCACCCAACTGTGTAGATCTATCCTCATGCTGTTGATCACTTGATTGTCTGGTCCAGACTCAATTATTTACAGACCGACGCCATATAACTGAAATATTGCTGAGTGCGGCGTTAAACATTAAACAATCAACAAATTGAGTTCTGAGCATATATTCAGTATAGAGACATATCCAGTATTTATGTAACTATTTTCACATGACACATAGGCAAAATAGTTGTATCTTACTGTCCAAGAACCGTCCTCATACACGTAGCCGTTGAGGACCATGTTTAGGCCATGGTTAGGGAACAGTATAAGTTTTCACGAAGTAATATTGAAGCATAATTTGTACGTATTTCCCTTTGTTCCTTTATATTAAGCCTCTTATCAAACTAAATCTCTTTGTCATCGTATCCTAACAGCGCTGATGTTGATGTTTATCTTAATCATTACAGACCACCATCACATAGCTGGAATATCGCTAAGTGCTGCGTTAAACAGCCAACAAAACAACATAAATTGTTTGAGCAGTTGTTGTTGGTAACATCAAGCTTTACGATGCATGCTAATTGTACATTTCTGTATATAAAGTAAAGTAAATACACGTCAAACACCATAGAATGTCCGAGAAAACAGATTCTGTTTTGCTTAAACGATCTAATGGCATTGTGAATAAAAAGAGCAGTTTCTATTATTCTCGCTGTCAACTTTCTGTCGTTTGGGTATTCATTGCTGTGTGTTGATTCCCACGTTGGAACGACAACGGCAACCCTGAAAATTAACTGGGTATATACAGATCATCATTTTTAAATGGGTAAGGAATGACAGAACATTAATGAACAATAAACAAATCATCATGGAATACGTTCTGATTTGTTTGGGTCTTGCATGTATTTAGGTTCAGCCAGCAAGCAAGACCTATGTTATATCACTGATTTAAATGGATGAGTGTAACGTCAAGATGAATGTGGATACTGACCACCCACATTTCCCATGCTGTAATGCACTATTCAAGGGTTCTGTGGTGGCCTACTGATTCTCCGGGACTCTACCCAATAGAAAACAATCTAGAGTGAGATGGTGGGACGCATACGACAGGATCAAAACCATCCGAGAACGCTTTTTTATTGCAGTCAGTGTATGGCAACATCCCCCAGGCTGGTTTGACCATCTTGTGCCTCAAATATTCCGCTGATGCCTCGCCCACATCGGCACAAACAGTGGTGACTCGCGTCACAGACATTATTCAATAGGTTGTAATGCATTTGTTACGATAAAACGATGATCACACGAATGACCCAACATGATGTTATTTTCAGTAACACTACAGTCACACCAGCTTGTATGAAGCACAGTTGCTTATTCCCGTTGATATACATAGCACGGGAGTATTTGTCTTTGTCCAGTTAGAAGTAATTGTACTCATCATGTTAAATACGACGCGTGATGGCCGAGGATGGAGACTCGAGTATAAAATCACCCAGAAGGGCCTGTAAAATATATCGTTAGCTAGCATAGCCAGTTACTAGTACACTGGCAGCTCACAGCGGTTGAAACATTGTTTCAGATAACACAAGGACAAGGCAGCTCACAGTGGTTGAAACATTGCTTCAGATAACACAAGGACAAGGCAGCTCACAGCGGTTGAAACATTGCTTCAGATAACACAAGGACAAGGCAGCTCACAGCGGTTGAAACATTGCTTCAGATAACACAAGGACAAGGCAGCTCACAGCGGTTGAAACATTGCTTCAGATAACACAAGGACAAGGCAGCTCACAGCGGTTGAAACATTGCTTCAGATAACACAAGGACAAGGCAGCTCACAGTGGTTGAAACATTGCTTCAGATAACACAAAGACAAGGCAGCTCACAGCGGTTGAAACATTGCTTCAGATAACACAAGGACAAGGCAGCTCACAGCGGTTGAAACATTGCTTCAGATAACACAAGGACAAGGCAGCTCACAGCGGTTGAAACATTGCTTCAGATAACACAAGGACAAGGCAGCTCACAGCGGTTGAAACATTGCTTCAGATAACACAAGGACAAGGCAACTCACAACGGTTGAAACATTGCTTCAGATAACACAAGGACAAGGCAACTCACAGCGGTTGAAACATTGCTGCAGATAACACAAGGACAAGGCAGCTCATTCCGCACATAACTGAAACCAAGATCATTTAGAGTTTGTAATAGTTTCAGTCCAGAAATAAAATATTAAAAATGTAGGGGATATTCCATTTTGAAATATTATTTGGGAACCAAGTCGAATGAGAGTATATGGATAGAAAATATTACTTGTTCCATTCACAACGTGTTATGAATTTCAGGCGGCTGTTTGTCATGATGTGCACGTGTGTGATGGTCGAGGTAAAATTTGACATTTTAAAGTGAAACGTGACAAGAGTGTTGGAGTACATTCTGGGTGATAAAAACAGACTGAAAGTTGTTCCCATGTTGTTTTGATTTCAATTAAACGGTTTTAGAGAAAGCGTCACGTCAGACACGGCTACGTGAATTTGACATGCTGGGAGTTGGAACGAGACAGAGCAAGGGTGCGAGCAGCCCGTTACGTCAGTACTTAACAGGTTACGATCAACAGACAAATAATGACGACAGACGTCGATCTGGTTGACAAAGACGAAAATTGACGCTAACGAATATTTCATTATAACAACTGTTATGGGTGTGAGAGTGGACAGATTATTTGAAATTTGCTACACAAATGAGACCCACATACACTCGACATGTTATCCGCTGAGTGCGGCGTAAAACTAAACTCACTGACTCACTCACTCCCGCGATTGACGGACCGTCACATTACTACAAGAAGTCAAGACGTCGTTACTGTCAAGACCGGCAACGCTGGGTCAACCGTCGTTGGGTAAAAGATATGTTTGCAGATGAATCAATGTTCACTTTGGACCTCCTTGACAGGCGCAACGGAATGTGGCGTGGACGGAATGAGCGTTTTCATGCTGCTGACAGAACGAGTGTTGTGGTGGTGGCTCAGTAATGGTGTGGGATGGGATCACCGTGAATGCCAGAACACCTTTACACGCTATTCACGGACGTGTCAATGGGCAGTAATACCGTGACAACATGGCGGAGGACAGGTGATGCCATTTGCGCGCTGATATGGATGTCGTTTTGTGTTTCAGGATGACAACGCAAGAGCACCCAGGGCAGCTATTGTTACTTAGTACCTCCACCAGGAGAACACAACCACCTCACAATGGCCAGCACTCAGCCTTTGAAAATGTCTGGAATTTCCTTGTACGGCGCGTAGGTCACTGTGAACAATCAATTGAGAGCAGATGAAGTCTCGCATTATGCATCATACAACACAGTAGCAATGAAACATACAGATAAGAATCATGTTATGCCAATCTCATACTTGACAAACACATCACTGTTTATTGAAAACTTGTTTAAAAGTTACTAATGAGCACTAACCAAGTATCAAAGTGTATGTTGTTTAGCGCCGTTATGGCAATATTTATACAATATCATGGAGTGTAACACCAGAAAGAGGCATCAAACCCGATCTTTTGGCATGGCAAGCAAACGCTTTAGCCACACAGCTACCAAAACGCCCTGAGTAGCATTGAATGTTATACATCTCATACCTGTTCCCATAGGTTTATGCGATAAACGATGCTAGTTACAGTGTCAATTGCTAGTTTTTCTGTCTGTCTTCGATATGGTTTTGCCCAGTGGATATTTCAACACATGTATACACTGTCTGCCTATGCGAAGTTGTTGCTGTTGCTTTTTGTTGTTTAACGCTGCTCTCAGAGAAATTCCAGCTATACGACGGTGGTCTGTAAATAATCGAGTATGAACCAGACAATCCAGTGATCAACAGCATGAACATCGGTCTGCACAATTGGGATACGATAATATATGTATGCGAGCCTGACCACACTGACCGCATTTAACCTGAGTCTTCACGTGTCACTATACGAAGTACACAACCAGTTTGTGATGAGAGATTTCAGAATGGCAGAACTATTTATCGCGACTTCTTGAGCGAACTGGGGTGGGGTAGTCTGGTGGTTAAAGTGTTCGCTCGTCACGCGGAAGACTCGGGTTCGATTCCCCACATGGGATCAATGTGATAAGCCCTTTTCTGGTGTTCCGTGCCGTGATGTTTCTGGACTATTGCTAAAAGCGGCGTAAAACTAAACTCACTCACCCCTGAGTGAACTGCAGATTTGAAGCGTTAATGACTGTGGTTGTCTGGAGACGTCACAATCAAAAACACATGCAGCTGGATCACATCACAAAAGTGTGGAGTCCATGAACCTTAACGTCATTGAATTTGACAACAATAAGAATTCAACAGATTATCTGCATTCACAATAGACAGCAGAACGCCATAGACGTAAACATGTATTCACTGCTACAGGTTGCATGACTAATGTAAAACATGTCATCGCGTGCCCTATATTGCTATTCATACAAATTGAAAACTGGTTCTTTCCGTTTCATTCAAGGTCATACAAGGTCATAAATAAATAGTCGTATGCTGCGTAAGAGTACTTAGAAAAAGGTGAAATACAGTGCAGCATTCTGATGATGATTGGGCATTCTGAGGATAAATCGTTGGCAGTGTTCATCCAACCGCAGACACAAATGAATACATGTTACATTCATGTGTTGTATAAACTGTATGCTAGTCACGATCCTCTCTGAAACCTGTACTTATCCTCAAGTTACTGAGTGCACATCGCGGAACATACATTTCATTTGTGTCAATATTATTCAAGGTGTTCACTGCCTTGTGTGCCCAATAAAGATGGCGACAAGAGACGTTGATCGGGGGTACGCCTGGGTAGCGCTGGGGGCAGCCCTGAGTATTCAGCTCGTGCATGGAATCATCATTTACTCAGCGGGAATATTTAACATTGCTTTGATGGAGGAAGTGGAGAGTGACATCACTAAGGTGTCATGGATCGGGTCTACCCTCATCGGGGCATATACATTACTAGGTAGGTAAGTTCATATTTTGAGTGAGTGAGTTTGGTTTTACGCCGCCTGTAGCAATGTTCCAGGAGAAATGGGCTTCCCACATTGTTCTCATGTGGGGAATCGAACCCAGATACTCAGCCTGACGACCGAACGCCTTTACCACTAGGCTACCCCACAGCTTCTTCAATATTTTGATGCGAGTGCAGCAGAGGGCGAGTGATTGTTCTTAAAAGTTTACGTCATACCAGGAATATTTCAGTCATGAAGTGACGAGATGATTTATGTTAAATATGTGAAATATCTGTCATACCGGACAGTTATATATTATAAAGATGTCACGTTGTAAGATTAAAAACTAACTATTTCAAATATGAAGATATTCTGTTTTAACACATAGATACCATTAAAATAGGGGCAATAAGACCATTAGCAACCACAGCTGGACCACCGTACTGGGGATCCTTGGGACTCACAGGGAGTGCAGTAGAACAATAGACACATTCTCAGTTCAAATGTCCTGTAACCCTTGTAGGTAATGTATCGCGAATCACATTGTACCACGTGTCTCTCCGTGACTTTGCATATGTTACAGTAAAGTGTAAAATACGCTATGGCATTTAGAAAGGGGTCAGATGTAACGTCTGTAATATTTGGGACAACACTTTCTCATTTAGATACAGATTGTTGTATCATTTTGGGTGAACCACCTAATTGCCAGCACACATATTCAGCGATATAATCCCCTCATCCATCACAGCATAACACAAAGGAAAGCTGTCTAATATCATCTCATATGTGATTATATCATGTTGATAACGGATTATAAACATGGTATATATACGTAAAGGTTATGGTAATTACCATCACTCAGTGCCTGAAAAGAAAGGGTTAAAAAAAAGACATACCTCAATGTATAATTCTAAGGGTAGTTTTGATTTTAATCATAAAGTTGTGTTAAGGTCCGTTTTGAACTTCCTCATTTTCCGCCTATCTGTCCTATAAACGGACATCAAGGATTCGGTGACCTTTTGTATGTAAAAATGTGGTGGCTGATTTTGGTCATTGCTATATTCCCTGAAATACCAGGCAATATGGCGACAGTACGATGTGACATTGACATAGCCAGAAACGAGCAAGCCACAATCCGCATAGACGCAGCGATATCACGACCAACTATGTATACTATCCCAAAAAAGACACGCATAGGCGATTTGTATTTTTAAAAAACTATTAATTCCTTATTGTGTTCAAACAATCATCAAAATATGTAACGATAGTGTTGAGAACATGGTTTTACACATTTGCACAAGTAAAAAATCGACTTTACCTGAAAATGTCGAGTTTGATAAGATTTCTTATTAGGATTAAAATAGGCACCTTCCTGTTGAAATTGTGCATGAAAGAGCATGCACTGTCTGACTACAAAATCCAGATTACTTTCGGAAATTGGCATTCGTTTTGAAGGAGTTTCAAGGTCAAATCACTACGCCACGTCTTGACGCTGCGACACGGAACATCGCCATTGAACGAATGCACGCTGGAGATTACCAATCTTCTGTTGCCAGGCGTCTGAATGTTCGTCTGAGCGTGATATCACGGCTTGCAGCTCGTACAACCAAACAGGTACAACAAATGACCGTCCCCGATCGATACATCCGGGTACTACATTTGCATGATCGTACTGCCACGGGTGAGAGCACAGCAGCCAGGGTGCCTGGACTTCGGAGGATATCCGGTCAAACTGTAAGAGATTGGTCTGAGAGCCAGGAGACCCGACGTCGGGAACGTGCTACGTCGTCACCATCGCGCTCAGCGTCTCCATTATCTGACAGTATCCTCTTGGTTGTATAGACATTTCCTTCTTCTAAACTGGTGTAAAAATTCATGTACTAAAGTCTATTTGTGGACGAGTTATACATGTTTGAAAATACAACATTTTCGCAACAGATTTCTGGCCTATGCGTTTCTTTTTTGAGATAGTATATATGCGTGTGTGTTACTATTTTCTTAAATGATTTCCTCTCTCTGTCTTTCTCTCAATCTTCCTCTCTTTCTCCCTCACTCTCTCTCTCTCTTTCTCATTCTCCCTCTCCCTTCCTTTCCATGGTCCCTAGTATGGTGATCTACCTTCAGTTTGTTGGCGATCTATAGCATGTTTTTATCCTGTACTGTCCAAATAGTGCTATTAGTTTTAACCTTCCACACTAGTTTTAAATCTATTTGTTATATTCCAGTTGTTTTACTGTCCTTCGTTGACAGTATTTACACTATACATACATTCCATTTCAATGTAAAATGTGCTCGTCGCGATATGGCTGAAATATTGCCGATGTGACGTTAAATATGAACTCACTCACTCACTCTGTCCCTTTCGCTCTCTCTCTCTCTCACTCTCTTTCTCACTCCTCTCTGCCTCTTTCGCTCTCTTGCTCACTCACTCTCTCCCTCTCTGTCTGTCTGTCTGTCTGTCTGTCTGTCTGTCTGTCTGTCTGTCTGTCTGTCTGTCTGTCTGTCTGTCTGTCTGTCTGTCTGTCTCTCTCTCTCTCTCTCTCTCTCTCTCTCTCTCTCTCTCTCTCTCTCTCTCTCTCTCTCTCTCTCTCTCTCTCTCTCTCTCTCTCTCTCTCTCTCTCTGCTTCTCTCTCTCTCTCTCTCTCTCTCTCTCTCTCTCTCTCTCTCATGCTTATGATATTTTCCACAGGACCAGTAGCTGGCATGATACAACATAGGTTTGGGTCTAAACTAACAGCTCTTGCTGGAGGATTACTGACTTTGTGTGGGATGGGACTGGCGTTCTTTTGTCGCACAATCACCGGATTGATTTTCACATTTGGATTCATAACAGGTACAGTTTCATGGCATGGATTTAATCCTCTTAGAATGTGCACAGCATACAACAACTCGAACGTCCTATTTACTGTGAATATTAATTCAGAATTCAATATATAAACTTGTGCTTGAATCGGTGAATGCAACTGGTTTTTGGATCAACAAATATCTGTTTTTCATCTCAGAATCTGTCATCTTTTGCAGCAAATGACACAGTGAGAAGGAATAACATACAATTACCTTCGGTGGGAGTTTGGTGATAATTGGAAATACAGACGGCAAAGCCCTTACCGTATTTAATTAAACCGACCCTTTCCACCTCCACAAGACATATCCACTAACAGTAGAGTCGATTGTACGATAGCGCCTGTATTATGAGCATGTGTTTCTGAACCACAATCATTATCACTGGAGTTTATTTCGTTCGCCTGAAGATCCGAGTGGAATTTATCTTCATCACCCTATGCTTGTCGTAAGAGGCAACTAATGGGATCGGATGGCCAAGCTCATGATCTTGTCATCGGATTGTCTTGTCCAAACTCCATTATTTACAGAATATAGCTAGAATATTGCTGAATGCGCCGTTAAACAACAAACAAACAGAACATATTTCGTATTCCATACGTCAGCTAATCTTGTAAACTTTGGTAACTACAGCGCCGATAACAGTGTATATATTATAGTCTATTGTAACCTACCATTCGAATTATTACTTTTGTTTAGGTTTTGGATTATGCCTTGGAGCTAACGTGGTGGGTGTGGTACCCGGACAATACTTTGAGAGGAAGAGGCCAGCTGCCTATGGAGTGTGTATTGCAGGAGGCGCTTTGGGTCTCTTTGCATCTGGTCCTATAGCAAGATATCTCCTGGATGAATATAACCTTCGTGGAGCGTTGCTAATTATGGCTGGACTGTCATTCCATACATGCATCGCTGCATCGTTATTTAGAAAACCTACGATATCCGCCAACAGAGAAATTACAATGATAAAGAATGATGACCAAGGCAATGATTTGGAACATGGACCAAAGAATGATTCAGTTGAAACTGACCCATTTCGTCAACCGGATGAACTTACCTCTGAAACTCCTTGTCTTTCTGGAAACCAGACGGAAGAACACGGAGATAATGTCCAAACGACAAGCGACGATCATTCGATATTTTATAAGACTTTCAAACTTATAACTCACAAATCGTTTTTTGTGTACAACTGCAGCATCGTGCTATGGTCATTAGGAGAAGTTGCTGCAGTGTTCCATTTGCCAAATTATGCCGAACAAAAAGGGAGCTCCCCCAAACAGGCTGCAAGCCTCTTAAGTGTTATGGGTGCTGGAGATTTCTTTTCAAGGATAGTCATTGGTTTTTTAGCTTCCGATCCTAATGTTGAAATCACCGTAATTCAGATCGGCCTTGTAGGTGTCGCTGGACTAATCACACTTTTGTTCCCACTCGTGTCCCATTCATACCGGTGGCAAATAGCATTCAGTTTCTTCTATGGACTATACAATCATGTGACAAATGTATTAATGGGTCCCCTCGTAATTGAACTGACAGGACTGTCAAATGTTGCTCTTGGGTTTGGAATAGTGTATTTCTTCTGTGGAATCGGATACCTCACTGGCCCAGTCATCGCAAGTGAGTTTTAAACAGACAATGCTGTTGAGTGAGTGAGTAAGTGAGTACTACCTGCTAGCTGCATATGGCTGGTAGGCTTCTTTAACAGTGAGTGTGTGATCATGGTTTTAATGGTACGCCAAAAATTTATAACGATGGGGGACACCAGAAATGGGCTTCACACATTGAGCCATGTTGGAAATCAAACTCGGGTCTTTGGCGTGAACAATGCAGCTGAGATGGCCAGATGTTTATTTAACATATAGATTTACACTAGGGAGATAATTCAGTGGCTGTACTACTTCAACAATAGCCCATCAGAAACTAGCCAAAAACCATGAGATACCATACCAACTTCAACATCACAATGAATGTGACGTCTCGAGACAAATACCAACAAGGTCATCAATCAAACAATGATCTAAGAATCTACACCGAAAGGTCGCAATCTCTGAAATAAATAATTTGTATAGTCATTTAAATATCTCTTTTGGTCATCATACGTCTAAACGTGATTTCACGAAAATTTATTTTCCAAAAGATATCCTGCTATATAACTGGAACAATATTTAGTTTGTATCATCTTATCATGTCCATGGTACAAAATGTCGATTATAGTACGTAATTGTCACGGAATTTATACATTATTGGCAGATATGTTTGTCCATGTAAGTATTTGTTTCTATTCCTCGTATTAATTAGCCCTGGTTTTTCAGGTTATATCTACCAGCGAACCGGAGTCTACGATTATACGTATGTGTTTGCAGGTGAGAAATACATCTGGAGGGTTCTGAATTGGCCCCTTCCCATACTTACTATATCTACATAACATCTCTAGATATAATTTGCTAAGATGAAGTGTAATATTGTTTAGTATCGCTTTTAGTATTGTTGATGACATGCTTGATATTACATGTATGACATGCCCAGCCAACATATTCCCAGTAAGCTGTTTGTTATGTCCAGTTAAAGGAGAGTGAGAGGCAGGGTTACAACTTGTCAAACATCGACGAACGTAAGGATGTCTCGATGCAAAGGTTTAGTTCCTGCGTACTCATATTTAAACATGATATTTGGTTTCATCGAGCTTCGGATAACTCGAAGTATATACGTTAGTTCCATTAAATTAACTGTGTCACAGCGGTATTTGACCGTACCGTCTTTCCACACTTGTGGGGTATACGCAACCAGCATTCCAAGCAGACTCGACCACTGTGGTCCGAAATATTAACGACTCCCCGATATAGCTAACTGGGCCGAAGGAAAAAGGCTATTGCATCCTTTGTGTATAATATATCGGACGTTTTAACTAGTTTTTGTATGTAAAGGGCAAACTATTTTTTGTCGAATTGAGCAGGTTCTTATTTATGTACTTGTGTTATATTTTACAAAATTGTGATATGCTTAATCGATTTTTATGATGTTGTATCTCATTTAAACCTGTCCGTTCAAGTTCGAATTTGTTATTTCCTCAATTTGAGTGAGTGAGTTGAGTTTAAAGCCGTAATATGACAGCGTGCGTAAGGAGAGTCCAACTTAATGCCGGTGTCAGACGTTTACAACCTTAAACTTATGGAGCCGTCAAACCAATAAACCGGGATTCGAACCGCAGGCACTCACCTAAACATAAATTTATACATGAATAGACGTCTTTGTACAATTTCACGAAAACTAGTTTCTTGAATTGTTTTCTTCTCCTTGTTGCAGGTACATGTTTGTTTCTTGGCTCGATATCGACTGCCGGGATCAGTGTATTTAAAACACGAGTAGACGATTGAAAAGAGTTTGAGGTGAAAACATACCTTGAATAAACTTGATTACAACAAAGACGTTTGTTTTGATACCACTGCATTTCCACAGAACCTTTTTATTTCCAATTTTCATTCCATTTCTATAGATATATAGTTATAACAATAGAAATGCATCGGTTTTATTGATTAACACATTTGAAACAATTTTAAGGAACTCCCATTCTTCGGGTTTTACCCAAATATCTATTTTCTGTTAACTTTCACTCTCGATGTTCTGCAAAAATAACGTTTTCTGTTCCTCTTTGGGGGGAATTTGTTTGTTTATGTTATGACAGTGGTTGAATTTGATATCCTCTTCCTTACATAAATTATAGATACTTAAACATATCGTCTTTAATGCAAATGTATGTTTCTTTAATGAAACCTGCTGATATAAACAAGAGCCAGTTTAAGTGCAAATCCATATTGTGTATTGATGATTATTGATGAAATACATTGCTATAAACAAGAGCCAGTTTAAATGCAACTCCATATTGTGTATTGATAATTATTAATGAAACACAATTATATAAACAAGAGCCAATTTAAATGCAAATCCGTATTGTGTATTGATAATTATTAATGAAACACAATTATATAAACAAGAGCAAATTTAAATGCAAATCCATATTGTGTATTGATAAGTATTAATGAAACACACTGATATAAACAAGAGCCAGTTCTAGTGCAAATCCGTATTGTGTATTGATGATTATTAATGAAACACAATGATATAAACAAGAGCCAATTTAAATGCAAATCCATTTTGTGTATTGATAAAACCTCGTGATGTCGACATCACTTGTAAAATGTGTACACCAAAGACAAGGGCTGGGAGTTTGATTGACATAGCGGTAAAATTGATGCTTTATCGAAAGGCCTGAACATGCAACAAACGAGGCTGTTTCTCTGGTCCCTCTGTTTAGTTGTGGTAGGTAGATCAGTGGAAAGGAATATTGGATATTTGACCATCATTGAACCATATCAGATCATCGATATTCCTAATCCTTAAATTAAACGTCTTAGCAAATTCCTTTTAACTTTGATTTATTTTTGGAGTTTTAAATAATTTTTGCTGAACTTATGTTGGTTTACGTTAAAAATATATTGTATGTCTGTTTTTGTGACATATCATGTTAGGTGCGACGTCCTTCAGTATGCAGCTGCTACCCTTTGGAACACTTTGCCTCCTGGTCGAAAACTAGTACCAACTCTCCCTCTCTTCAAAAACACCCCTCTGTCAACGTTATTTTTAATAAATTCTTGTATTTTATCTTCAGCGCTTAGATTTTTGTCCTTGTGTGATGGAATTCGGCGCTATACAAATACTCTTATTAAATGTTAATTTACGTTTCATTCAATCAGGCATGTTGAGCACATGGTATGTTATAATATTATATTATACATTACTAATAATTCTAAAAATACTAATAATAACATTTGTAAAGATAACGAGTTTCATCAACAGTGTGTAATGTAGTGAATGTGTACTGCAGCTGGTGTCAACCTCGCAGCTCTAGGCACAGTAAAAATATAACAATTGTTGAATAACCTGAAGATATGATCCATGTCGACAAGCTGCACAATGGCGGTTGTTGTATGAGTATCGCGGATGGTTATATAACTCATGGTAGAGTGAGTGAGTGAGTTTAGTTTTACGCCGCTTTTTTAAACATTCCAGCAATATCACGGCGGGGGACACCAGAAATCGGCTTCACACATTGTACCCATGTGGGGAATCGAACCCGGGTCTTCAGCGTGAAGAGCGAACGCTTTAACCACTAGGCTACCTCACCGCCCCTTCATGGCAGACGGAAACGGAAAACACCAGATGCGTTTCACCCGAGCGAGTACTGATTTACACTATGTCGATTTCGAAGAATTATATCACTAGCTGCCAAGTACTCTATGATAAAGATATTTTTCAATGAAATATTTTTCTGATTGTATGCACCGACCTAATATTCATTTATTCATCTGTTAGTATCTGAACTCAGGTCACAATCCAATATTGCACACATGCTTACCATTAGAGTGGAGATTTGCTGAAGGCATTTAGTCTGTTTGCACAGCCTCATAGACAGCACAGCCACCCTGAAGTATGGCTGAATACCGCTGCTGATATCAAGTCAACACTGTACAACACGAGAAGGTGTTAGAGATTGTCCAGTTATGTGAACGTTGATACTTAGACAATGACCCATCAGAGGTCAAATGCAGGTTACTCACAGGTGTAAGTATAGGTCATTAATAGGTCACGCCCCCAAATGTTTTAATACATACACACTGTGAAAAATCAAGGTAAGCCCTCATAATTCCGCAATATAGTTTGCTGCATGACCATCATATGTTTCTGGTATGACCAACATACCCCGCTGGTGTGACGATTATATAGGTAGCTGGTATGACAATGAAAGGCTGATGCCATGATCGTGATAACTTGTTGGTATGATCAACATGGGTTGCTGACATGATCGTGATAACTTGTTGGTATGATCAACACGGGTTGCTGACATGATCGTGATAAGTTGCTGGTATGATCAACATGGGTTGCTGACATGATCGTGATAAGTTGCTGGTATGATCAACATGGGTTGCTTACATGATCGTGATAACTTGTTGATATGATCAACATGGGTTGCTGACATGATCGTGATAAGTTGCTGGTATGATCAACATGGGTTGCTGACATGATCGTGATACGTTGCTGGTATGATCAACATGGGTTGCTTACATGATCGTGATAACTTGTTGATATGATCAACATGGGTTGCTGACATGATCGTGATAAGTTGCTGGTATGATCAACATGGGTTGCTGACATGATCGTGATAAGTTGCTGGTATGATCAACATGGGTTGCTGACATGATCGCGATAAGTTGCTGGTATGACCAACATGGGTTGCTGACATGATCACGATAAGTTGCGACTACGACCAACATGGGTCGCTGACATGATCGTGATAACTTGTTGGTATGATCCACATGGCTTGCTGACATGATCGCGATGGGCAAGAGGTGTGACCAGCATACTTTTAGGTTGCTGGCATGCCCATCATAAGTTGCTGGTATGACCATCATAATTATCTGGTAGGAACCAGATGGTATAGGTCTCCAATTCACTACACTTCATTGTGATGATAGGATTCCCTGATAGAGCTGGTCGAGCTGATCCAATGCTCGTCGTCGAACATGTATTTGATGGACAGGTTAATGAGTTGAGTATGTTTCAGGCAGGAAGAGTTATTGCTTAAAGTAAGGTCTTTGTTATTCAACAATTACTGCGCGTGACTAATGTAAATAATACATCACCTGTTGTTTTGCTATGAAATGGTGCTGCGGGCGAACAGTATTGTTAAGGATTACGAACACGATTAATATAAATGAAATATTTTCTGTGAAAGCTGTTACATGTAGTTCGGATGCTAATCTGTGGGTTATGTTATATTCACGTACATTTGCATTTCCAATTTGTGCTACTGGTACAACGGTGAATATCTACCATGTCAAGTAAACTGAGAACCACTGCCCTCGTAAAAATATATTCTATATATACTTTGCTAAAAATAGTCCATGTACCATACGCATTTCTCCACCCATAATGCAGACTCGAAGCACCCAAACAATCTGATTATTATTACCCCGGATAACCCAAGCTGCCTGTTAGGCGCTAGAAGGTTATAAATCACATGACTTATTCCACCGGGTACCCATTTTCTGCTGGATGAACAGAAGCAATTTTTAACAAACTCACTTGGCTACGCTGAGACCACAAGCATCACATGTGCTTCGTTGTGGGGCAGGACTGAATACCTCGGAACTCTCAGGAGTCAAGCTGCTAAACACGGTCACTCATCCAAGAACTCTCCGCGTCCATCGTTGCTTAACATCACCTAATTTGTGACCTGAGCGCTATGCACAGGACCACACAGCACCACATACTCCAGACACATACTCCAGACATGTACCCCGACACATACTGCCGACATATACTCAAGACATGTACCCCGACACATACTCCCGACACATACTCAAGACATGTACCCCGACACATACTCCCGACACATACTCAAGACATGTACCCCGACACATACTCCCGACACATACTCAAGACATGTACCCCGACACATACTGCCGACATATACTCCCGACACATACTCAAGACATGTACCCCGACACATACTGCCGACATATACTCCCGACACATACTCAAGACATGTACCCCGACACATACTGCCGACATATACTCCCGACACATACTCAAGACGTGTACCCCGACACATACTCAAGACATGTACCCCGACACATACTCCCGATACATACTCAAGACATGTACCCCGACACATACTGCCGACATATACCTCCGACAAGCAAAGCCACGGATGTAACGAGATGGTGAGTTGTGATTTAGGAGTAATATGCTCCAAACGTGATGTTCCCCATATTACAGGTGTTGACAGCCATAGAGTTTCCTCATTCAAAGACCTTACGGTGTAGTTGTATTTTTATAAATAGATAGTGATAGATTGGCTTTTGTGGTCATAGTTGAATTGCAGGACATGTAGACATATCATCAGTTATGCATATCAACTGCTGGAATTTATGTATAAAGAATATGTAAGTACATGTATATGTGTATACCATTCCGTGCTTTGTCTAGGAACCTCCCTGCAGTCAGACTCAGCTTCAAATGATATCAATATACTCAACAAAATTAGAAACTTGACACCTACATTATTTGTGTTCTGTCCTGCACAATGTAATGGCATGTTGACTGTTTGAACTTGGTTTTGGAGGCCGACGTACAAAATGTGAAAAACGTATGACACAAAAATCACGAACAGAGCGTTACGTAATCATAGCGATCACACGTGTGTTGGAATGCAAGAACACATGCATTGCTGAATAGGTAAGCGTATCAAAACAGCAAGTTTAATAAGAAAAGTGAGTATACAAAGACTGCGCAATGGTGGTGTTCATTATGTAAATGCATAATGCATGGCCAAAATTCCAAAGGCCCAATATAAGGCGCAATAA